CTCCTCCTCTTAGTGGTTCCTGGTTAATTACCTGTCAATCAGAATGAGTGGATCTGATTGGCTGTTGAATCGTCGTTCAGGTATTTTTTCTTTCTGTCGCACCTTGAAGCTCTGAAGCAGCAAACATCTAAAACTGCTGTTTTTACCAATTATCTGCATTTTATTCAAAGCTCTTGGCTCCAGTTTTCCTTTCTAAGTTTCTAGGAAGGATTATTTTGAAACACTTTTCATCCCATTCTGATTGTTCAAACATTTCATGGAAGTCTTTGTATTAAAATATAGCATTAAGAAGATTATTAATTATAGCAAAACTAGCATCTATTAGCTGCTCTGCATTAGCCTGCTAAAGCTTAATATGAAGTGTAACAAAGCTGTGGCTCTGCTCTGCCTGGGATTACTGCAGCATAGCTGCCCTGTTGTTGGGGGGGGGGAGCTGGCAGCAGGCAGGGATAATGCTGCACTGTGGCACGGTATGTGAGCCGGGATAATAATGCTGCGGTTCATACCGGCGTTTCTCAACCAAAGTGAGAAGCTCCCACTTCCTGAATACCCACCATGACAGAAACAGGGAGCCGATGGAGGAAATATTCCATCCGCGCTGCGGTTGGATGTCTTTACTGTGGGACTTTAATGCTGTGGATAGCTGAGGCTTTGCTAGCTTTGCTTTACTGAAAGGATGCTTGTTCTTTGGTGAAATGAGGCCGCTAACAGGTCTGAGACTTGGTAGTTTGCTTTATATTTTATTCAGGTCTTCCAGTTATTCATCCCTACATGGTTTAAGTTACTTCCACTGATAGGCAGAATAAACCTGCTAGATTTTTACCAAGTGGAAGGAAACTTTAAAACTTTCAGTTAGAACTCTGAAAAGTGTGGCATGCTTTTGTATCCATCCCTGTTGAAACAAGGCTTCATTAAAACCACCAGTAGCTGGATTTCAGCTCTGTCTCTACCAGCCATACAGCTGCAGGTTTATAAAAGCAGCTGGAGCTCCGTCACCTTCAGTGATTTTCAGTCTGTGACTTGGACTAGGCCATTCTACTTCTCCATTTCTATGTCATGGAGGTTCTCAGGAGCGTTTCCTCTTTAGCGGGTGGTGGTCTCACTGTGCAAAAAGGTGATCCTGTGTTTGTGACTGTGATGCAGCGGCCAAAGTGAACAGAGCAGCCGGACAGGGGAGGGAAATAAAACGCAGATGGACATCTGATGGACAGCCAATGGACATCTGATGGACATCTGATGGACATCTGATGCGCTGCATGCAGCATGTCATAATGCTGCGCTGCCAATTAGAAGCAGGCCATTCTGTCTGCGTTTCCATGGAGACGGTTTATAGCTAATAGCAGTGTTTAGCAGTCGAGCTGCGCTGAATAAACAAACTGTGCTTCATGTTTTCCTCCTTTAGCGCCTCTAACGACACGTTTAGCTGTAAACGGGATGCCGCCTCTATGGTCGTCGTATTATCAGCGCAAACATTAAAGCGCTAAATTATTTCTCTAATTATCACAAATGAATAATTTCATAACAAATGAGACACATTTCCAAAAACTGCATCTAAGTCAATAAACAGTAACCTTAGGCTTAGTGGGATGAATAAAGTATTAAAAACCAAAATATGCACGCAGAAAAGTTTAAATGTGTTTAAAGTAAAAAGCAAAAATAATTACTATTATTTATACTTTTACTATATTTAATTTATTAATAACTTTTTATGAACTACTGAGATAAAACTGTCCTGATGGGCCTCATAAAGTCAGATTTTATCTTTCTCACCTTTTTCCTCCAATAGATTAAATATTGTAATGTCTTACTGGGCGAGTTAATTGACCACTTCCTGTTTGCTGCTAACTGGGCTAAAGTTAGCGTCTGCTTCAGAGCGGCCTGTAAGGCCTCAGCTTCATTCAGAGGAAGAATCACCATTAATGAACAATCTTTAATGAAACCTTTCCTCTCTTTGAAAACACAAAATGGAAGAACATGAATGTTTTTATGGAATTAACACCAAAATAAAAAGAAATAAGCATCAAAGCCACAATATCTGGACTTAAATGCCAGATTATTTTAGTTATTATCAGTTTGTTTTAATATCCCGGATTTTATTTGGTTTCTGTAGAGAAAAAAACATTTTTATTTTCTAAAATCTTGACTCCTATTCTTCATGGCAGCATCAGGTTTGATTTTCTCTCAGCTGATTTTTTTATTCTTTTCATGTTTATTTGGGAGAAATAAAAACTTAAAGTAGATTCGCTTGTTTCGGTTTGTTCTTTTTTATTGAAGCAGAAACACAAACGATGAAAATCAGAAGTGAGTTTTTATGAATGTGGAAATAAAAAGCTTTAAACTTGAACAGAATGATGGAACCAGTACGTAAACACTGTGCTGTTCCCAGTTTGGTGCTGGTATATAACCCTGGAAATGAAGAGTGGGTGCGGTAACATTATGGGCCGATTCCTCAGTGCAGCAGGTTGAGTAATACGGTGTGGCAGAATCCTGCCAAATCTGTCCAGCGAAGGGAAATTACAGGCCACATTTAACTCTGATGAGCCAAAACATTGCAGCCAGCGCAGCTCAACCCGGAGCTGCTGAGGACCAGACTCTCCAAACGCTGCATCTGAATCAGACCCAGAAATCTGAGGATTAAAGCCTGGAACGCAGTGCAGACGGGGGGACGGAGCAGGTGAGTGGGAGGAGCCTCTTCCTCACTGCTTGTTGTTTGTGTTTCCTGCAGAGCTGCAGAGGGAGGGCAGCATCGAAACCCTCAGCAACAGCTCGGGCTCCACCAGCGGCAGCATCCCGCGAAACTTCGAAGGATACCGCTCCCCTCTGCCCACCAATGACAGCCAGCCGCTCAGCCTGTTCCCCACCACCTTCCCCTGAAGCCCCGCCCACTCAGGCAGCCGCTGGAGGCCCGATTCAGGAGCTGCAGAAACATCAGCTGATTTTTTTATTTTTTTATGAATGAATTATCTGATGACCAGAGAAGAATCGCTTTATTGTTGCCTCCAAACATTTAGTAGAAGGTGTTGATGACTCTGATGCGTCAGGAAGACGGCCTCCTCTGCTGCCCCGCCCCCCACGCCGTCCCTGAGGTCTGCAGCCTGTCGTCTGTTCGGGTCGCAGGAGAAGCAGCTCGACAGCAGAGGAGAAAATGTTTATTCCAGTTAGTGACGTGTAGCAGCTCCTTGTTTCCCTGTGTGTGTGTGTGTGTGTGTGTGTGTGTGTGTGTGTGTGTGTGTGTGTGTGTGTGTGTGTGTGTGTGTGTGCTCCCCAAATGTTTCTGATTAGATTTACTCTTCTTGCCTTTGATTTTGGTGTAATTCCATTTGACAAAGACGCAGTAATGAGATGACACTATTACTACACGCTGAAGTCATTTAGATGTTTACAGTAGAACTTTTTCTGCTTTTATTTACAGCCTCTCCGTTTGGTGCGTCCTGATTGGCTCGCTGACGTCTTTGCTTTTTTAACATGTTTTGACCAAAATTTAGTAAAATGTTTAGATGTTTGTGTAATCATATTTTCCTTAGATGTGATGATTTTTTCCTGTTTTATGATCTTCCTGCTCTTTCCTTTCTGTCGCCTCTTTATGAAATGATGTTAAATAATTGCAGTTTTTCTGCGTGACGTTTATCAGAGAGACGGAGTGGAGCGTGAATCTAGATATTCAGAACATCTGCTTGTTGTAGATCTATTCCCAGCATTCATGCATTAAAAGCTTAATAAAAGTGGAATAACTTCATGTGTTTTTTTGCTGTGAATCTGTTCTTCCTGTTTTAACGGCAGCAGTGACCATCAGCACACAGACGCAGAGGTAATTAGCGCCGTGTTCCTCTCAGCCAGTAAAGTGTTGTTAAAAGGCCTTTTTACTGCCGGCTCTGGGCTCTGAAAGGCTCCGTTTGGGCTTCTTTCTTTTATTTCAATCTGCTCTACTTGAATCCCAGAAGTCGTCTTTTCAAACTTAAACAACAAAATAAAAGATGGAAGTCTGGCCTTCAGCCAGATTGAGGTTAAATAGAAAAACTGCTTTCCTGGATTTGGTCTCATTAGATTGAGAAACGGCATCTTGAGGTGAGTCTCTGAGCCTGAAACCATCTAATAAGAAGCTTTTCTCCTGTTTATCTAAAGAAACAGTCATTTCCAGGGCGGCTTTGCATTCCCAGTTTGTTTTATTGGAGCTTCTGACAGCAGTTAACACACCGAGGCCACGTTTCCAACAGAAATACAAACTTAATACATCCATGAAATGCTTTCTGTGCTGAAAACTGACCGAACTGAAGAAGGTCCAAACAGTTTACTGCTTCTCAGCTTTGAGGAGCAGAAGATCAAAGTTTTCACCCCCTGTTAAAATTTATTTTAAGACTTAAAAAGTAGAAATCCTGATAGGCATCTTCCTTTTGGTTTTCCCATAATATGATTTAATCCAGGATAATTTAATGAAATAAAAGCCAATTTGTTGAAGGGAAAAACATTTAGAAAAAAAATCACCTGCTTGCTAAAATCTGTTTATCTCAGAACCTAAAAGCCGATTTGTTACCAAAATTATTTTGATACTGAGAAATAAATTCCCTCAATTTTACCTTTGTAACAAAAATATAGCTATAAATATTTATGCTACCTTTGTAGCTTAAACAAATAACTTTTTTTTTCATTATATCAATTTTCTCACATAAAGAGAAGAAGAGAAAACAAAATGTAAAGAATCAGCCCAAACCAATCAATAGCAGATCAGACTGATCATTATCAGCCCTAAAAAAAAACTGTTTCCCACAGCATGTAGAAAATATTATACATAATATGAATATATTTATAATTAACAATATAAAAGGATTATTAATTATAGAAATATATTTTAAAAGTTGAGTGAAAAACTGTGTCCAAAATTATTTCAATTCTTTAAATAAATTGATATAAAAAAAATTATTTAATGACTTTGCAGAAAAAAACAACTTATTTTTACTGGTTCTTTGTTGTTTGGTTGTGATTCTCCCAGTTTTAGTGGAGAAGAGTTTTCATCAGTTTAAGATGTTTTTAAAGATGCTTTAGACTCAAACTGAAAATCCTTTAAAAGGTGACTGAGGTGTTAGTTTAAGGGTTTAAGCACTTTTTATTTCTTTCTTTTTACTGTTTTTCAGGTTAATAAAATGTAGGCTTATTGTATGAATCATTGATTTTGAATATTGATCTGATAAAATAAAGCCTTTGTTAAAAAAAAAAAAAATCCCATTAGAGATGAAAAAAGTTTGTTAATTCAGAAAGTCTTCTAAACGAGCTCAGTTTGAGTTCCTCTTTATGGTGGAAGCAGAAGTTTTTCATCACCAGGATCTCAGGATCTGATGTCTGAAGTAAAACAGGATTTTACATTTGCTTTAATCTTCATCACAGGGCAGAGCTCAGCCTCTAACTTACTGCTTCTTTATGACAAATAACGTCTCAGCGTGAAACAATATCTGACAAACTCTATTAACCACATACACACACGTACGGAAAACAAAATGATAAAATCAATGGTGGACAAACGCATCAATACAGAGATTATTTCTTTTTTTTTATCTTTGATAAATCAGCCTCCTGTTCACCTGAGAGGATGTCTGTGTGCAGCTCTGGAGCAGAACCAGAACATCCTGGGAGCCGAAACTCAGGAGCAGAAAAAACGGTGAAAGAAAAACATGAAGTTTCTATTGGTCTTTTTCCTCAGGTGGTTCTCAGTGGTTCTTTATGCTGAAACCAGAAACAGCAGATGGATTCAGGTGGAGCAGATCCTACCTGGAGAGGAAGCTGCTGAGCACGACCTGCATCCTTCTTTAATGGTTCCAATGCAGTTTAAAGGAGTCGGTTAGCAGGAGAGGAAACGCCTCGTCCTCCAACATCAGTCACCTGAGAGGAGTCTGAGGAATTTAATCTAATTCAACTTTATTGATCTCATAATTCACTGCATTTAACCCATCGCCTTGGGGAGCAGAGAGCTGCCATTGTGCAGGGAGCAGGGGGTTAAGGGTCTTGCTCAGGGACCCAGAGTGCAGGCTGTGGGATGGGGCTCCAACTCAGAACCTCAGGATTCCATGATCTATGTAGCTCTGTGCCATAACCACTAGGCCGCCACTTCCCAAGAACTGGCCTAAAGTGGGAGCTTCAGGTCCTGACCTGATACTGACTCACCTAAACCAAAGCCTGCAGTCTGCAGCATCATTAAGCTCTGCAGCATCATGAGTAGCATGCTGCAGCATGAGGTTCTGCAGCATCATGAGGTTCTGCAGCATCATGAGGTTCTGCAGCATCATTAAGCTCTGCAGCATCATGAGGTTCTGCAGCATCATGA